GGTTGCTGCAGGTGCCTGGATTGAACCTGCAAGACAACCAAGTCTTGTATATTTATTCTCGTGCTCTGCCCGAGCCTATTCGTGGACAACTCGTGGCAGAGTCAAAGTCCGACAAGTATAATTATAGGCAGTTTCGGGACCTTGCTCTCCAACGAGGGCAAACGACTTCTCAGGTAAAGAATTCGTATGCGTTTGTTGTGAAGTATGGTGGTGGTGCAGGTACAGGTAAGCAGATACTTTGGCGCCAAAAGCGCCAGGACCACACCCTCGTCGTCTTTGATGACGATACTGTGGAGAAGTGGCCATTGGAGGCCGAGGGTGTGGCGAGCATCAGTGATTCCGGGAAGGGGGAAGTCACTGCTGCCGTGGTCAACAAGAGAGGACCACGGCCGCCAACAATGAAGAAGAAGAAACCACCGCTCATTTCCTTAGCATCCCGGAATTGCGGTCGGGAAACCATGAGAAAAGATGGGAATGTCACAAGAAACGTGGCAGGAAATAATGGATAATGCACAGTGTCTGAAGTGTGGTACCCCAGGGCATGTGATTGCATGGTGCCCACTTATCCGTAACCCAAAAGCGAGCCGCCAGTAGGAGTAGCATCTGCTCCTACCGAGTCTAAGCGTTTGGACCAAGATGAAGGTAAGGCGCATACTAACCCTTCTAACCCTTTGACTCACATGGCAGAGGATGGTTCTTCTTCGGCCGATTGTCCAGAACACCCTGAACCTGTCTTATGTATTGTCTCTCTGGATGACTCTCTTGACGAGCTTGGTAACGAGTTGCTAGCATTACGAAGCTCGTGGGCTAAGAAATCTAAGTCTAAGGGTGACCTACTACTCGCGGACGTAAAGATTGTGCGTACACGCGTAGGTGCACTGTTGGACTCAGGATTCACGCGATCCCTATATATCCGAGAAAGCAATCCGCAAGTTGCATCTCGGAATGAAGGTCAAGAATCTGTCTCGACCAATCACGTCTATTCTAGCTGACAAAAGCACGATCAATGTCTCGCAATATGTTGATCGTGTGAAGTGTCGATTCCGTACCAAGGAAGGAAATAAGATTGTTCACGAGGTTTCCTTTCTTGTGGAGAAGAAGTTACCTTTTGATTTGATTCTGGGAATGGATTGGCACGAGGAAGCCAACCCAGATATCAATTTCAAAGAGAAGATTGTGCCATTGTGTGACGCACGAACTGAATTGAAACCAATCAAATTGTATCATAAGTCTGGTTTTGACTCTAGTCTCTCTCTCAGTTGTAGAGTTATCCAACATTTCATTCAATGGTTTCAAAGAAGAAATTGGAACAGGAAGTAATGATGGTCTTAGTAAAGAAAGTAGGAGAATGCTCTATTTCCTGCCATCCTTCGATTGAGAAACTCTTGGATGAGTATAAAGATTTACAAATCGAACCAACATGAATAACTGCGTGTGCTATAAAGCACACCATTGAAATTATTCCTGGCAGTAAGATTCCCAAGGACCCTATCTACAGAATGTCTCCTAGAGAACTTGAGGAACTCAGAAAACAGCTGCAGGACTTTACAGAGAAAGGATGGATTCGTCCTAGCTCTTCTCCTTATGGTGCCCTTGTCCTATTTGTACCCGAAAAGGAAGGGGAGTTGCGTCTCTGTATTAATTATAGAGGGTTGAATGTCATCAGTGTTAAGAATGTCGAACCTCTTTCACGAATTGACGACTTGTTGGACCAATTGCAGGGCTGCAAGTTCTTCAGTAAAATTGATCTGAAGTTTGGATACCACCAGGTCGAGGTGGATCCCGCAGATCAACACAAGACTACATTCCGAACAAGGTATGGTCACTACGAGTTTGTGGTAATGCCTTTCGGACTGACTAATGCCCCAACGACCTTCCAAAGATTTATGAATGAACTCTTTCGTCAATGGTTGGATCAATTCGTCATTGTCTATCTCGATAACATTCTTGTGTAAAGCAAGACACTTGAAGATCACGAGAAACACCTACGTCTAGTGTTGGCAAAGTTGCGTGAGGGCAACTTCAAGCTAAATCCAAAGTAGTCTGAATTTGCTAAGTCCGAAATCTTATACTTAGAACATATAGTAAACGAAGATGGCCTAAGGCCAGAAGAAAAAAAAAAATCAACAATTAGAGATTGGCCACGACCTAAGTCGATAATTAAACTAAGATCTTTCCTTGGTTTGGCAAGTTATTATAGGAAGTTTGTTAGGAACTTCTCACTGATCGCCGCACCAATGAGAAGATTATTGAAGAAAGAAAATGTTTGGTTGTGGGACAAAGACTGTGAGTCTTCGTTCAAAAAATTGAAATATGCGTTGACTCACTACCCAGTTCTGAAAATTGTTGACTTGTCTCTACCCTTCATTGTCACTACCGATGCAAGTCAGTATGGGATTGGGGTTGTTCTCCAGCAGGATGACGGCAAGGGTTACAGGCCCATAGAGTTTATGTCTGCACGACTGCCGTCGGAAAAGGTTGCCAACTCCACCTATGAAAGGGAGTTGTATGCCTTAGTCTATGCACTAAACATGTGAAAGCACTACGTATTAAGGAGGCACTTTACTGTGTACTCAGACCACTCTACTCTGAAGTGGATAAAGACACAACATGGGTTCTCTGATAAGCTCGTACGATGGTTTGCGTTTATTGATACCTTCGATTTTGAATTGAAAACGATCAAAGGTAAGTCTAATGTGGTTGCAGATGCATTGTCCAAACGGAGTGATTTCTTTGGTGCAATTGTCTCTTATTTGGATGTTGGGAGTGATTTGAAAGATGGAATTCGGCAAGGATATGCTACTGACCCTATTTGGAAGCCTATCATCGATGTCCTTGCAAAATACCCAACTCTACTTCCCAACTACCGTGTAACCGATGGTTTGCTTTTCTTGTTAGACTAGACTGAACAAAGATTGTGTATTCCTCACAAGGAAGAGATTAAAAGTCTGTTAATTAGGGAATGTCACGATTCTGAGGGTTATTTTGGATTCAAGAAAACTTACGCAGAGGTTAGGGAGCGCTTTGAATGAAAGGGATTAAAGGAAGACGTACTAACTTACGTGCGTACCTGTCTGATGTGTCAGAGAAACAAACCTTCACATGAGAATCCACTTGGTCTCCTGAAACCATTACCAATTCCGAGTGAACCAGGTGAGTCCATCTCAGTTGATTTCATGAGCCTCACCAAGAGCCGTAATGGCAATAGTCACGTAATGGTTGTTGTGGATCGTTTCTCTAAATATGCCATGTTTATTCCCTTACCTACTGAAGCAAGAACTGAACTTGTGATCCAAAAGTTTTAGATGTGATGGGTGACTGAATATGGGTTTCCCCTCTCCATTGTGTCTGATCGTGATGCAAGGTTCACAAGTATGCCATGACAAAAGCTGATGGAAGCATACGGTACACGTTTAACCATGTCGTCAGGACGACATCCTGAAATAAATGGACAAAGTGAGCAGATGAACCGATTGTGCCGACAACTCTTGCGCATGTATGTGAGACCCGATCATATTGATTGGGATGAGAACTTACCCAAAATAGCCAATGCATATAACAACAGTGTTCACACCGCTACGGGTCGTATACCAAATGCACTGCACAAGGGGTGGAAACCTAGGCGTCCCATTGATGTGTTAACGCGGGACCAGTTCCTTAGGTTACCTCCAGGGACATGAGAGTATGCAGTTTTGTTTCAAGAAGACATAAAGAAGGTAAAAGATAATTCTGAGCAATGGCGTCGCGAATCCTCGCAACGGAAACCACGTGACAAACAATCAAAGTGTGAGGAGCCGCGACCGTACACGAGACTAACACTTCGTTCCTATCACGGACGTGAACGGTTCGATCATGAAAGTTTACCGGATGGTCGACGCTACGCAACCAAGACATGCCTAGAATCATGTCGAACTTGGTGTCGAGGATGTCGAAAGACACCGGCTCGCATGCAAGGGGCGCAAAGTACACCGGAACGTTGTGAACACATCGGTCAATTGACTTTTGCGTGCGGCCATCTGCAAGTGTGACTTGCGTAGGTTGCGTCTTCCTTCGAACGCGGGGGCCGAGGCCTACGAGGGCCATAAAGGCTTGGTTCATAAAGTTGCGAGACCCTCCGCAATCAATCATGGCACTGCATGTGGCCTTTCCGATTTGAATGCGGATATGGGGCAAAGGAGCGTCGGTCTCGACGTACCTTTGGGTGGCGTACTCGCGGTCAATCTTCACAAGATAGGAGCGGAATCGACAACCGCTACTCCGTCGTCCGTCAACGGAGCTGGTACTGCAGCGTGCAAGTAGGAGCGTAGATATGCCATCAAGGTGTTACAATGCGGCTTTGGCAAGGATCCAGTCGAGGGTAGAGGCATCCAAGAGAAGTCCTCTCTCGTGAGCAGGTCGAGGTCCTCAAGCCTTGACCACGCCGACGAGTCCTCGAAAATAAGTGGCGAACTGAACGATTCTCTTGCCGACAGTATACAAGTTACGCATACGCTATCTAAGTGCACGTGGTTAGGCTGGTCCAATGGTGGCACCAGCTGGGCGGCATAATCCTCATATGTGTCACAAGAATCAGCGACTAACGCATGCTCCCCGACAGTGATATCGGTTGTTAGCAAGGCAACCGGCTACGGCAGAGTGTGGAGAGGCGTCGCCCCTCGCCGTGCGCAACTCAGTTTCCCGAGTAAGTTGGACGGGGTACCTTTGCCTTGCCCTTGTCCGGGCATTGTGCAGTAGTGTGGTTTACACTGTTGCACCGAAAGCAATACCCATACCGTGGTCGAAGTTCAAATACTTCCTTCGTGATGTTGTATGCCATCCATGGTTGCTGCCTAGTCTCCGTCACTGTCGTCCCTTGTGTCGTTTGTTCTTCCGAACCCATTTAGGACGCTTCGGCGGGAGCGCTGCGACAACTCCTCCATCACTCGAGGAGGCTGCTGCAGCGTGGAGATCAGGTGATCCGTCAACGATCACCGCATTGTTATGTGCCGACCTTTGGTAGCCTTGCTTAGCCACATATTGCGGTTGGGACTGCCTTTCGTTGGCGGCCTTGTCATCCGTTTGGATGACCAGGTTAGCACGGTCAAGGATGGCCATAGTCATACTCGTTACCAAGTGCCGACCACAATCCTGCGCATGATCGCGAAAAGGATTCGGATCGCAGGTTTGGGAAACTTAAGTCGAAACCAGGAGTGGTTACTATCTTGTGCCACTTGATCATCCAGTCTCGTGTTGACATGTTCCCTTGCGATCTGAAGTAGACGTCGTTCATGGCAGCCTTTACTACATTCCGGACCATGAATCGAGTGTGCCACATTTGCTCGAGCTGCTCCCACGTGATGTGTGTGTGCAGGTTGGCGATGGTGGTTCCCAGATTGGCCGCTGTGTGATTCATGAATGCCTGTGCTCCTCCAATGAGTTGGAGATAGTGCTGTCATCATCAGGCCATCCGGCACGTGGTGGCAGGCTGCTTCGGTGACGGAGGCTTGCCACCATGCCAATGCATCCGTTTTGTTGTAGTCGTGAAACTTGCTGATGTTGAAGCGTGGCATCTTGTATGCTTTCGAGGCAGCTTCCGGTCGTGACTGCAGTTTGGTGATGTCCGTCTTGATGGCGGCCACCGTGCTGCTGATCGTGGCCGGACTGGTAAAGTCACCCAGGTCGCCGATGATGTTGACGGCATGCCCTCTCCGAGTTGCTTCGCTATGTCCGTCGTGCAGCCTGGTGCTGCTGAGGGCGTAGCCTCGATGCTGTTGACGCGTGTGATAGTGGATGCCAACAGCTGTTGCTGTTGTTGCTGATGTTGTGCTGCTGCCCGGATGGCGGCTGTCAAAGTTGAAGACTCTCTCTGCTGAGTCTGTCTCAGCTGCCGTCCAGTGTGCGCGTGCACTGTCTGCATCGTGTTGTTCCACATTACTGCCCTCATCATGCACCAGCATCAGGTTAGACAGGTTACTGCTTTCCGCTTCCGCCGGTGTCGGATCCGCTTGCGTAGGCACAAAGGTCAAGACTTGGAGTAGTGCTGTCCACTGACTCTCATTCTGAATCAAGGACTCAGCACTGGCGGTGTTCCGCTTGTCTCGAGCCGTTGCGTCAGCCTCAGCAGTCCGCTGAGCTTGGGCTGCCGCCTCATTGGCAAGCCTCTGACGTTCTGCTTCTGCTGCCTCTTGCTGTGCCTTTGCTGTGGCGACGGCATCTGTGAATGCCTGCACCCGCTGAAGGTAAGCTGCCAAAGTCTCGTGGTCCCCTTGGACCGGACAGGCGGGGAGGATCCCTGCGGTGACCGGTACTGCAGCTGCTCCATTGGTACTGGATGCCGCTGGAGTCGTTCTCCTGCTGAGTCGTTGTTGCTGATACTTAGGCCATGAAGCTAACACAGAGTGATTACGAACTGCGATCCTGGCACTGTGTCGTGGCAGTGCCCTGGTGTCCTGTTCCGTCGACATCAGCACGGGCTGATGTGGTACTTGGAGATCTCGGTGGTCACAGACACGGGGAGGGCAGGGAGGGTGGGAACAGGGGTAGAACAGAACAAACTATCAACATACAGTCCCCTGTCCCAATGTCGACTGGACTCCTAATCAAAAGAAAAAAAAAAGATGATCTTTTTCCCCCCGAACAATTCAATTTCAAAAATAATCAATAACTAATAAAGAATAGGACTTAAATAATGATTTAAAATACGAAATTTAAATTGTCGGCAGATCAGGTGTCCGTTGAGATCACCTATGGTCCGGGAGTTCACCGTTGTTAGTGAACTTCCCGAAAGTTGCAGTTCTGGGGTAAACGATTTCGGACAGTCTGCCAAACGAAAAAAAATTGGACAATTAGGAAAAAGGAAGAACACTCGAGTTTTCGAAAAAAACGTGAAGTTTTGGGAATTTCAACCTAAAATAGTCCGATTTTCAGATGGCCGAAGGCCGCTTTCGAAATTTTCGACAATTAGGGGAAAAAGTTCGAAAAACATTTTTCGGAAAAAATTCGGACCTCAACCCTAATTTTCCGCGATTCCGCAGAATTTCTGATTTATGGTTCCAGAAAACGCGAATTTTCCCCCAACGCAGAAAACCGAAAAAAATTATCGCAATACTAATTCAATACCGAATTAAAATAGAATACCGAATTAAAAATAGAATTTTCAATTTTGCAACTTGAATCTTCGATAGCAATGCAGAACTAATTCGGAAAAAGACAATGCTGATTAAGCAATCGATTCCCTAATCAGAATTACCCTGTGAGCAGCTCCACTTAATTGGTCTGCTCCAATACCAAACTGTTGCATACTAGTGAATACATTCACCAAGTATGGGCAGAACCAAAGATCAACCAATATAGGATGAGCATATATGCAGCAGAAGTCTGAGATATGGACTGCCTCACATAGATTGAACCCACCTAGACATCACTCAACACACAAACAATCGTGAGATGGTGGGGTCTGAAGCCATACATAGACGATGCTTCAGGCCCGTACACCCATACACAGATGAATGGTGGGAGGAGAGACGATGGAGGTGGGAGATAGGGACAGCGCCAGATGTCAACGAATACAATCCCGAATGTCACCGATATAGTAGCCCAAAATGTCACCCAACAAATCAGAAGGTCGTAGACATTAGCCACCAATGTCGGACGTACAGAATCCTAATGTAACCGATGTCTGATCTGTGAATCCCAAATATCTCCAATGTCTCGAATCCGATAAGTATCACATCTTCCTACCACCGAAGTCCAATCACCGATCTCTGTCCATCTCGTACGCAAAGTCTCTCATCTGAAGAAGAAGAAGAAGAAGAAGAAGAAGAAGAAGAAGAAGAAGAAGAAGAAGCAGAAGAAGAAGCAGAAGAAGAAGAAGAAGAACTGAGAGGGGCAGAGCATCGGTAGAGATGGCGAGTAGCCCTAGGCCCTACCTGATGATGAAAGATGGCGCCTTGGCTGCTGTTGGAGACGGCTGTGCTGCTGGGAGCTATGGCGCTCGCAGTTGCTATCAGGTAAGTCTCCCTCCTTGCTCTCTCTCTCCACAGCCAACGCTGCACCTAGCGCTGCTGTCTAGCGCTGCGCTGGAACAGAAATAGCGCAGCGTTTTGCTCCTCAGTGCTGCCGCACTCCCCTCCTGGAAATGGCTGTTGGCTGGGCCTAAATAGTAAATACCGGTCGGCGGCCAGTTTGGCCTCTGCCTCCAAAGGTGGCCTCCAATCTGAACCGTCGGATCGATCCGTGGTTCAGGTCGGACCGGTTTTCGGGAAAACAGGATGCCTAAACGGCGGCCTGGTCCAAACGAAACGTTTGGCCATTTCCCGCCCAGGGCCTGCGGCTGCAGGGCCTGGTCTGGAACCGGTTGCGCAAGGCCAAAGGGGCGGCCTACAAAAGGTCCGGCCTTTGAGCCGGCCTGGCCTGGACTATCGCGTCCAGGCCCTCGGAACCCCTCAGCCTAGTCGTCGGGCCTGAAAGGGCCCGTGTGGAATGATGTATCAACTTGTCTATTAGACCAGTTAGGATCTGAAGCATGCAGTGGCTCATAGCGCACGCATCTCTACTGGTCAACCAATGGTTCCACAAGAGGAGGAAAAACACGGATCCTGACAGCTCCGAATTATGCAGGTTGTGCACAGACAACATCCCGGAAGACATACCCCATTTCCTCCTGTATTGTACTGAAGCAGTATGGATATGGAACAAGGTGCATGATCTATGGTCCCTCCTCTTCTAATCACCCCCTCCGTCCACAACTCCTCTGAACATCCTGCTCCTATCCAACAATACTAACGATCTCAAAGGTGGCAAGGAAATCTGGTTTCACCTGCTCAGGAAGCTGGCTCTATGGGTAATTTGGAAAAGGAGGTGTACCAAGGCTATTGAGGGTACCGAGGTGGAAAAGGAAGAAATGTGGATCCTACTACTGGGAATGGTGGAAACCGAGATTCAATGCAGATGGAGGGAGGTGCCATCAACAACGAAAGTCAGACCAGAAAGATTAGCCATCAAGAGACGGTCTTTCGTGAGAAACTGGCTTCTAGAGCGAAAGATTGCAACTGTGGCAGATAACAGATTGACTTGGAAGAAATGGCACAGTGCAGATCCAGCAAGGACGATGACCCAGTGATGGGCAAACTGAGATTACAATCTCAACAATATAGGCGACTCTTTTCTTTTGTTGCTTTACGCGAATTATCTGACAGAGTCACAGTAGATTCTGAGAGGAACCGGACTGACGCTCCCCAGAATGATATGGAGGACCTGTTTAAAAAAAAGAAAAAACTTCAAAAAAGAAAAAAAAGGCAGGGAGCAGCAAAGCACCAACTGTCTGGAAGCGCTGTTGCAGTCTTGTGTGGCCAAGCTTATAAACGAAGCTGGAGAGTAGTGAAGTCAACAGCACCCGATGCCGTAGCTTAGAGAGAGAGAAGGAGATATCAATAGTAGGGAAGACCTTTGGGGGGACCGAAGAGAGAGAGAGAGAGAGAGAGAGAGAGAGAGAGAGAGAGAGAGAGAGAGAGAGAGAGAGAGAGAG